TTTATATATTTATTTATTTATTTATATATTTATTTATTTATTTATATATTTATATATTCATTCATTCATTCATTCATTCATTCATTCATTCATTCATTTATTTTATTTATTTATTTTATTTATTTATATCTATTTTCTATTTGTTTATTTATTTACTTTATTCATTTATTTATATTTATTTAACTTATAATAAATAAAATTTTAAAAATATTCTGATTAATATAGGCTCATTAATATAAGATATAATAGAATTTAATTTTTTATAATTCATAGTCCTACCATTTTTCGGCGCCTTGAGACGATTTTATTGTGGAAGGTGCACTACAAATATCCCACCATTACCACATGACACGCAGTAAATGCTAAGCTCCGCCTCCTCATTATTGGTGTTCTAATATCAAAGAAAAAGAAAGAGAAAGGAAATTGTTTATAATAACAGTGGCGGCTCTAGGATATATTTTCTGGTGGGGGCTAAGTTGTCCGACAGGGACTTGAGCTCGCAGGCTCGAGCTGGATGAAGGGGTTGAGAGGGGGCCCCTCTCAAATGAGATTTTTTTAAAGAATAATAACCTCTGAATGGCCAAAAATGGCACTCTCAGACTGTGACAGACATGTATTGGCTTGGTATGGGCCCATATGGGCTTCAATTCGAGGTTTTACAGTACTATACTGTGGTCATTTTAATGTAGTTTGTATCAAATTTATTACTGCCACCAAAGGAAGTTATGCATTCACTGCTCTCCGACTCTTGGCGTGGTTAAGCAAAAACTAATGAATAGATGGTAATAATGGTTCACAATATACGAGGAAACAGATGAATAAATTTGTTAATACCGCAATATTGCTCCTTTTTCTTAATTAAAATAATTATGTCAAAAACCTTTAATGATATTGTGACCATTGTGTATGTGGATGTATATTTGATGTATTTTTATATGTGCTTTTTTAATGATTGATTTTATTAATATTGTAAGTTGACTCAATTCAGTTTTGTACTGCAATGTCAATTTTTTTAAATAAAAACCAGAATGAATGAATGAATGAATGAAATTTTGGTAAGAAAAAGTCAAAGTACAAGGTAAAGGTTACAAAAATTCAATTTTTTCTCGAAGCATAAAAGAAAATAATCAAATGGTTCATCTTACATGGTCTGATTGCTCAGTCTAAATTTGACGTTTGCTTACAGTATGTGCATTGTAAAGGTATTAATATTTCTAGAACCCACCTTCTTTATATAAATGGTGATTTAAATTTTTTTTAAGTATGTAATTCCATTAGAGTGCTTCTGGTGGTGAATTGGGAAAGATTGCTTAAAAGAAAAAGCTCGACTTGGATTGATAAGCTACAACACTGAATGCACTACAGTACTAAAATACTGCATGACTGATTTCATGACATGCTTGATTGCATTCACTAAAGAAACCAGCCTACAGTATGTCACATGACTAATTCTGGAAAAACCCACTTCTATTATTTAAGACACTTCATGCATATCTAGGATTGAACGTAGAATTTTAAGGTAAATATTTTATTAACTTATGTTGTTTAGTACAATAGTGTAGATGTAACAGATAACATAATAATTGAGAAAAAAATAAAAGAAAATACTGAATCAAATATTTTGTTCCTGAGCATGTACCATTCAAGAAGCACCTGCATAGTACCATTGAGGAAGGCCAACACATGTGAATACATTAATTAAATTTGAAAAATGTTACTATACTATACAGTAGCATCTGTCT